GTCAACAGAAATCTTATATGCAATTTCCTCAGCTTGTGCATCTCTAAGTTGGTCGGTACGCTTGGAGGAAGCATCAACAACATTGATAACAAAAGATAATCGAGTAAAAAACTTGTGTAATGCAACAACTCCTTGTGAAGCAGCCATTAAGGCTAATTGTAATCGATGGGCAAAACAATGAACATAATACGCATATGGACAGTCATTTGAAATCAATGCTTGCAAACCCTTGAAATGACCTCGCATATTGCTTGCACCATCATACCCTTGACCACGGATTGACTTAAGATCAAGATTATTACGTGATAATACATAATTAATTGCATTTTTAAGAGTTTGTGATGTAGTGTCGGGTACATGAACAAGCCCAAAGAAACGCTCCATAATAAAGCCATCTTTATTTGAAAATTTCAAAACAATTAACATTTGTTATTTATTAGACTGGTCACGTGCTTCATTAACAACTAAACAAAATTTTCCACCATTAATCTCCTCACAAATCATCCTCCTTGCCCTAGTTGATATAAGGTTTAGAATCTCTTTTTGAATTGACGGTGATGTATATAATGTATGTTTAGGAGCAGTACGGAACAATTCTTCCAACTCTGTGTTAAAATAGCCAATTCCCTTCAAGATTTCACGAAAATTTCCTTTGTTTATGGAATTTGATCCTTCATCATGACCTCTATATGCAATTCCTTGAAACGCACACAAACAGACTGTATAAATAGTAGCCTTCAATCTCAATCTATTATTTTTACGTTCTTTTTCTGTAAATATCTCAAAGACATTTCGTATATCATGTGCCTCATTTAACAAATCATCACATGATTTTTGTGCAACATTGTGAAAAGATGTGCACTCAGTCCCTATGTGATGCAAAAAGGCACAATTTTTTCCACCAACTTTCTTCCAGTTCTGAAATCCATCTATAGTAAATGCTCGTTGGCCGTAGTGTCCCATTCCAGAAGGCTTATTGAATAGAAAACATGGAAAACAAAATGCAGCATCTAAGCTCTCTGAATATTCAAGCAAATGATATAACTTAAACCAAGAAGCTTGAAAACTACGTTTATGGGTTTCTAGACCAGATTTTGGATATACAGAAAGTGTTTGTTGAATGGGACTATGATTAATATGTGCTCGTATAATAGTATCTCGTTGATTTACTGGATAATCATAAATTTGCTTACGCAAACCAGGATCTCGTTCTAGTGTACTAAGATCAATTTCATTATTTTCAACACGATTTTTTTTGAAGCGATTCTCAATAATTGGAACATTGGGCGTAGGGGTATCTTCATCCGAAACAATCATCGGTGGGTTTTCGGAATCTTAAGTAAAAATTGAGTGTTTTCTTTTGAAAAATCCATCAATAGTAGATTGTTTTTTTCATATTCATATAAACTACACAATCGAATTTACTAACAATTAATAAATAGCAAATAAACAAATGAAGTTTTTTATTTTCAAAAAATAATATAAAGTGCATATAAATGTAATTAGTTTCATATGAATATATGATCATAGCATAACAAGAAATATAAATACACAAAATCGTTAACAACAAATATAGATAATTACATATACAAATATAGTATGATAAATATTATATATGTATATATTCGGTTAATAAATATAGATAATTACATATACAAATATATCATATATGATAAATATTAGTATATATGTATATCTTCTTCTAATGCAACAAATAAAGTAATCAATAAATGAATATAAATATTATTGTCACACGCTAGTGTGTATAGTATATGCGGTAATCACAGATCATTCATATTGTATTCAATTTATTTATATTTTATTCAATTTCTATTTTTTGACAAAGTAAAAGCAATAAATAAATATATAGAGAACGTAGAGACAGAGAAACATAAAACTACTTAAGCAAATGGGGAGCAACGAAGAAGAAGAAGAAAAACCTTATGGAAAGCAACAGTCGTCTGAACACTCAAGTGAACAGCGGTCGACAGAGATTAAATTTCAGCAGTCTTGGCTCCGACAACTAGCAAGGAGGTGAGAGAGCGTATGGTACAAATGTGGCGGCCACCGGAAAAAAGTACAAGACATCAACGATCTTAAGTCTTAACAGGCGGAGGTTAAATTCCCCTTGCCCCTATGTGGGTCCGGCCACTGATTGGAAAGTATATAATCCAAGCTCTAATCCATTGTTCTTCACTGGTTGAAATTCTTGACATCTGCTGATTGCATGAGTGTGGGAATTTTTGGTTTTTGTTTAAGTACATGTACTCTCTGATTTTGCATGCTTCATGATTTCGACTTTGGATGATCTTGTTGACTTGGTTGACCAGAGCTGACCCCAAACCTTAATTATTTTTGCAAATTATACCCTAGATGGGGTTTTCTTATCAATTGAAGTCCATTAGCTTCTAGTTTGACCCCAAGCCTTAATTATTCTTACAATTATTGTCCATCACGTGTTCGAAGTGAATATATTAGTTTCTTAGATTTTGCCAAATCTAATTTTGTTTGAGTTTCTCATTTAATAATACTTAAATAACCACAATTTGAATAAAAAAATAGGTAGTAAAATGTGACAATATTTTTTTTTTTCAGATAAAAGATTGATTTTTTTAAGTTATTGTTATATATTCATTGACGGATTCACTACTAGAAAATTTGGTTTTAGCTACCGAAAATTCCGACAAATTAGTAATTTCCTTCAAATTTCCAACAAATATTCGGCAAATGTAGAATCCAACGAAATTCCAACAAAAGACTAACGGAAATGACAGAGATTTATCATGTCGCCTCTCTGCCCGCTCTTCCATATCTATCGTCGATTCTGTAGCGCCATGTCATAGATATAGCTCATTTTCGTCATGCGGATTTATCAACATAAACTCTAATCACCATCATAGAAGGTAACACTGTTTTCAAGTTGTTGATTTCTTTTACACGTTTTCAAGTTGTCTAAGACAATAAAAGCATGTTATCAAGATTTGATTCTTTTTCAGTGCAAAGTAACATTGGATGTCATCGCTAGTCGTATCCCTTCCTTAACATTTATCGCCATTTGGTCCCACATCACCAATTAACACAAAAGACGTCGGTGCCACCCATTCATCTCATTCCACCACCACAACCACCGACTTTAAACCCCTCTCCCAATTTCGTTTTTTTATTGTATCAACTCTAACTCTTTTGTTGGAATAGTTTCATAGCCTTTTTGTTAGATTTTAGTTTTTAGAGTTTGAAATACTGATGTAACCAACGATTCTAAAAATTGGATTTGTTTACCATCTCTTATGCAGGTCCTTATCTTTTATATGCATGTATATAATATATATATATATATATATATATATATATATATATATATATATATATATATATATATATATATTATATATATATATTTTTTGTACAGGAAGATGGTTCTTTTGCAAGTAGTAATTGTGATTCCCTTGATTTTCATAGAACTAATGGACAATCAAGAGTGTGCGTTTTGTAAACCAATAATCAAGCTTATTGCTATTAAAGAAGGTATTCACATCAAAACTATAAATTTCATTTGCTTTAATTCTTGGAAACAAGTAAGACCCTTAAAATGATCTGGTACAATTCCATATTCATAAATGAAAACAGACGCTAAATGGAATTTTAAATAAGTCCACTGGATCAAGAAGTTTACTTAATACATTGCATAAAGCACCATTAGTGAATATGATACTCATTTTCAGGGGCGGAACACAAACATTTTATCCAAGGGGCCGAAATTTGAACTTCAAACAAATATACGATTAATAAAAAAATATTGTTCTAATAAAAATATAAAAGTAACTAATTTAGATAGAAAACTCTATATTAAAGCTACAATTTATCAATATTTGTGTTTGTAATAACATATATTTTATCACAACCTTTGTTATTTAAATTTAAAAAAACAAATTATCATCCAACTAAAAAATAATAAGATAAATCAATAAAACGTATAATTCTTGATAAACAAAGTTTTTTATGATTTAAAGATATCAAATCTCAAAACCCTCTTTTCTATTCTTTTCTATTTCCTAGGCACTAGGAGTCTCTGACATAGGAAGCCATAAAAGCTTTTTATATTTCCAAAAAGCTTTTGTATTTCCATAGGAAGTATCTAAATCATAACAACAAAGCTCACAGTTTAAACATAGGAAGAGTACTCCATCAAAGTTCAAACATATATACAAATTAAGAGATGATAATAGAGTGAGTGAGTGAGGCTAACTTGTGAGCATATACAAGGAGATCTACAGACGACGAAACAGCAAAAACGACAAGATGGCGAGAGTTGGGCTCGTCAAAACGAGAGCATGGATAGGCGCTGAATGGAGACAGCCTTTGGCAATAGGGTTTTATTTTTTTATTTTTTTGAGCTTTGTTTTCTTAGTTTTTAGTGGGCTTTTATATAAGTTTAATAGATTTTGAAAATGGCTAGGATCTATTGTATTTTTTTTCCATATTATAATACATTAGTTTCCGATTTAAAGATTTGAAGTATTATCTTTGTTGATTTTACTTTCTAAATTTTATAGAAGGGTTAATACCAAAAAAAGCCATAAGTTTTACATTGTTATTCTAAATTAGCCCTAAATGGATTTTTTGTGTCTAATTAGCCTAAATAATTGTGACCCCGTTTCAAAATCGTTTTATCATCCGGTTAACAGCCGGTCAAGGTACGCAGCCGGTCACCACTCTCCTATACTACTCGATAGTTCGTATACCACCTAATATCACCTTTCATAGAAACGTCTTGCATCAAAAAAGGGTTTCTTGTAGTTGGTCTTAGGAAGAAGAAGGGTTTGAAAAGGGTTTCTTACACCATTGTTGCATGCAAAAAAGCTTCTATTTTGAAGTTGATAATCACTGAAGTAGAAAGGTACGTGGGGTGCCAATAAGAAATTGATGTGTATGTGTGTTCTTATCTTACATAATCGAGTTCCATAGTGTCACTTACAAGTATAATTTTTCATTTTGAACAGATGGCTTCATCATTTGGAACTAAAAAGGTGAAAGGGCCTGAAAAGCTTTATGTAAGGGACGAGGACTCTGATGATGATCTCATAGATTTCTCTTTCCTGGATTTTGCACCAGAGACCTTTAAACCGACCTCAAACCTGTCTGATGACCCGTTTCTTAACATGTTATGTGATGAAAATATGCTAAGGAGGACTCTTGATGGAATGGGAGATGATGATCAGGAAGTTGGTGTTAAGGATCCAGAACATGATCATATTGATGATCAAAATGACGGTGAAGTAGGTGTAGAGTACAGGGTTCATGATCCAGACATACATTGGAAACAAATGAAGCCGGTAGTGGGAGAGTGTTACGAGTCCCCTGCTCAACTCAGGTTTGCATTAACTAACTATGCGGTAGCTAATGGATATCAGTTGTGGTTTATGAAGAGTGATAGGCATAGAGTGATTGCTAGGTGTGGGAAAATATATAAAAAAGACCCATGTCTCTTTAGAGTTTATGTTGCTTGGAAGTATAATGAACGAACATTTCAGATTAAATCTATATGTGACATACATCTATGTGACAGAAATTTTAATTTTGGAACTTTGGTTAGTTGTAACTGGTTGGCCAAACATTACTTGAAGGATATTATTATGAAGCCAAAGATGACATTAACTGAGATGAAGGAAGATGTACTTAGGATGTTTTCAGTAAATGTATCCAAGGGGCAATGTCACAGGGCTAGGACAAAGGCAAGAGAGATGATAGAAGGTAAGTTAGAAGAACATTATGCAAAGGTATGGGACTATGCTGCAGAAATCCTTAGGTCTAACCCAGGGAGCACTTGTAAGGTGGGAGTAGATTCTAATGCAAGTGGCATGAACTATTTCAAAAGGTTTTATGTGTGTTTAAAGGCTTTTAAGGATGGTTGGAATAGGGGTTGCAAACGTGTGATAGGTTTGGATGGTTGTTTCCTAAAGGGTCAGATCAAGGGAGAACTTTTGACTGCTATTGGAAGAGATGCAGACAATCATGTATATCCAATAGCATGGGCAGTGATCGATGTAGAGAACAAAGACAATTGTACTTAGGATGTTTTCAGTAAATGTATCCAAGGGGCAATGTCACAGGGCTAGGACAAAGGAAAGAGAGATGATAGAAGGTAAGTTAGAAAAACATTATGCAAAGGTATGGGACTATGCTGCAGAAATCCTCAGGTCTAACCCAGGGAGCACTTGTAAAGTGGGAGTAGATTCTAATGCAAGTGGCATGAACTATTTCAAAAGGTTTTATGTGTGTTTAAAGGCTTTTAAGGATGGTTGGAATAGGGGTTGCAGACGTGTGATAGGTTTGGATGGTTGTTTCCTAAAGGGTCAGATCAAGGGAGAACTTTTGACTGCTATTGGAAGAGATGCAGACAATCATGTATATCCAATAGCATGGGCAGTGATCGATGTAGAGAACAAAGATAATTGGACTTGGTTTATTGAGCTTTAGTTGCTGATCTTGACCTTGACTGTGGTAGGGGTCTTGTGGTTATTTCCGATCAGCACAAGGTAAATTATACTATAAATTTGTTTAATTATTATACATTGATAATAATTTTGTTTATTCAATGCCAGGGTCTACTACAAGCTGTTACAGAACTACTTCCATATGTTGAACATAGACAATGTGCCAGGCACATCTATGCAAACTTCAGGAAGAAATACACTGGGTTAGAGCTCAAGAACCTGTTTTGGGAAGCTGCCAACAGTACTGTGGAGGGGGACTTTATAGCAACAATGAAGAAAATCAAAGACATAACTCCCAGTGGCTATGAATGGCTGATGTCAAACAAACCACATTCTTGGTGTAGGGCATTTTTCTCTCATGGATATGCTTGTGAGGCTATAGAGAATGGCATATCAGAGTGTTTTAACTCGATGATCATTCACATGAGAAAAAAACCAATTCTAACAATGCTTGAAGAAATCAGGATTTATTTGATGAATAGGTTTTATCATCAAGCTGCTATAGTTTCTCAATGGAAAGGTGACTATGGCCCAAACACCTTAGAGAAGATTAAGGAGTTTGGAAAGCATATGAGGTATGCTTATTTGATTTTAATTGTGATCTTAAGTCTATACATTTACATTACTAATTACTTATAATTTTAGGTTCTGGATAGTAATACCAAGTGGAGGGGCATTATTTGAGACAAGGCATGGATATTCAGCTTACAAGGTGGATTTAGATGCTCATTCTTGTTCATGCAGATTATGGGAGATATCAGGGTTACCATGTGTTCATGCTCAAGCTGCAATCAATTTCACACATAGAGATCCAACTGATTTTATTTCCTTTTGGTTCCATAAGGACAAGTTCATAGAGACATACAGGGACAACATCTTACCTGTTAATGGAAGTAATATGTGGCCCTGTACTGAATATTTGAAGCCCTTACCACCCCTTGTTAGGAGAATGCCTGGAAGGCCAAAAACAAAGAGAAGAAGACATGCCTCAGAATGTCAGGATTCTAAGTTCCCTACTCAAAAGGCAAAGGTTAGCAGGACTGTTAGGTGTGGGAAATGTAGGGAACTTGGTCATAATAAGCTGTCTTGTAAGAATGGAGAAGGTCCAAGTGACCCTGTCCCTAAAAGGAAAAATGGTAGACCAAAGGGAGATGGGGGAGGGAATTTAGCTGTGAACATTGCAAAGACACCAAGGAAAGTAGATAAGGGAAAGAAGAAAGTTGTTGAGGACACATCAAAAGAAGTAAATGAAGGACATAATAAAGTTGTTGATCACACATCAAAACAAGCAAGTGAGGGAAAGATGAAAGCTGTTGAGGGCACATCAAAAGAAGCAGGTAAGATGATAGATGTTGATCAGTCAATTTCTCCTTTGAAGAGAATGAAGATGATGGCAAGGAGGGGAGGTAAGATCAAATATGTAGGGAGAATAGGGGCTGTGCATGGTAGTATAAGTCAAAATGTGGCAGGTGTTGACCATGAAGATTTTGAAACTATTAAAGATCTGCAGGCATCTGGATATGATCATAGGGAAATTGTTGAAGCTTTTAATAAGGTGTGTAGTTATAAATTTAATTATTAACACAATTTTCTTGAACATTATATGATAATATGTTTATGTTAATTTCTTATACACAGTTGACAAAAGAGAGGAAGGAGATGTTGGCTGAGAGTATAGTTGATGAAGAGACCAGTCAAGAAACACAAGATCCGTTGGTAAAAAAAGGAAGCCCTCAGAAAGAATTATCAAGATTAAGTTGAAAAAAGCAGTGCATGATCCAGATGGAGGTGGTTCAACAATTGAGAAAGCACTTACATTGGACTGATGTTGTTATGGACGGGGGGTTAATTGGGCATAAATCTTTTGATAGCCCTTTTTTGTGAAAGCATCTTTTGGTAACAAGCTTCCAATTTGTTGACAACATGTTATCTTTTGACTGTAAATTGTAGTAACATTGTATTTTTGGAAATCATCTTTTGGCTTGTAAACATTATTGTAAAATTGGAAGTTTGGTTCTGATTGTTACCCTCCATGTATGTATTTGGCTATTATGTTTATAAAGATTGTGGTTTGTAGTAAGTTCAAATTTCTATGTCAGTTTATAATGGATAGTAAATTGTCAATTTCTGGTTAATGCTTTTCATATTAATTATTCCATAGGACTATGTATTACAAGGGTATCCATATTACAACCATCAAAATGTTTTCAGATGCTATTACAACTGTGCCAAAATAAGCATCTAATACAATTTCACCTAACCAACAACTTCACAAAAAGACTAAACTTAACTTCCTAACTTCCTATAATCTCACCAGCAATACAGTCCCTGTTACCATCACTGCAAATAGCATGACCATGATAAACATAAGCTTCATCATCAACATCAACCTCCCATTTTGATCCACATTCACCTGTTCCAACCGAGCATTGCCATCAACCATCCCAACCAGAGCTAAATGCATTTGGTACATGAGGTTTTTGTAATCTTCACTAGGCAAAGGTGGGTCCAACCACATGAAGAACATACAATACCTGGAAGGATCCTGCACATTTTTATGACAGATTTTCCCTTAGTCCCATAACAAAACTTTATAATGCACATTTTTATGACAAATTTGCCCTTAGTCCCATAACAAAACTCTATACTGGATCAAAGAGTGAAGAACAAATGTGCACATTTTTATGATAGATTTACCCTTAGTCCCATTCGAAAACTTTATACTACACATTTTTATGACAAATTTACCCTTAGTCCCATAACAAAACTTTATACTGGATCAAAGGGTGAAGAACATACCTTGTAGTTGGTGCATCCCCTAAATTTTCTTCCAGGATTCTTGTCCGTCCATGAAATTGAGAAGCTAGCCTCAACACCACAACAACACAAAACCATGGGGTTGTTTCTGTTCCTGAAATTGACATTAACATTTTGAAATCCTGAAGTCATTGACCCTGTAGACCCTGTAGATGAACTAGCCATGAAGAAGTTAGATGCGTGGAAGAAGAAGTCGGAGAATGTAGAAGTAGGAGATGGAAAATGGGTTTCTAACAGTAAAACCCTTATTTGTAAAGGGGTAACCGGCTGAAACCGGGGAAACTGGCTAACAGGGTTTGAGGCAAAAGTCAACACATACATAAGGGCTAATTAGACACAAAAAATCCATTTAGGGCTAATTTAGAATTATGGTGTAAAACTTATGGCTTTTATGGTATTAACCCTTTATAGAATTGTATTTTCTAAATTTTCTTAGTTTTTTAGTGGGCTTTTATAGTTTTTTTTCCATATTATAATACAATTGGTGTCTTGGTTATCCTCTTTCAGGACATTCATTTTTGGACATAGAAATAGAGGAACTGGGGTTCTAAGTCTGAAAACCTTCCGCCCCTGCTCATCTTTGTTATAAATAAGTATTGTTATTATAAGTTTTAGTTCAATAAGATAGCTAACTTTCTTTTTTCAACACTTTTCAGACTCAAGGCCTAGAATCCAATGCAGCTAAACTTTATGCTATGCGTATACAAAGAAGCAATCAAGACAAGTTTTTTATTTGGATTTTCATTTTTGACAATTAATGGGCTAGGTAAATGTAATGAAATTTGTATTTTTATAGGTTAAATGTATTAAATTTGTATTATTATAGGTTTAATGTATTGAGTTTTTTCTTCAATATGGGCAGAGAAATCTTAAAACTTTTTCTATTTTTTTTTTTGCTTTGTTTTTTTTTATTAAATGGAACATTCCGTTGGAAATAGGTAGGAAACTTGTTTTGTTGGTATTTTGTAGGAAAATAACGTGTATGTACATTTTGTTGGAAAAGTGTTGGAAGTTTCGTACGAAAAATCCATTGGAAATTTATTAGAAATTTCGTTAGAAGTTTGCATAGCTGTAAAGTTCACTTTGTACTCAAAACACCTTTCCTCTTTCCATAATGAGACTATAACTCATGCATGACACAAGATCCACGTCCAAGACTGGATTTTTATGAGTCCTCAACAATATATACACTAGAAAAGGTTAGATCTAAGCTCATGGAGACTCTTTGCACACAAAGTCTCCAACTTTGAACCAAAAACCCTAAAAATGGTCCAAAAAGCAAAACTTATGAAGAACAAGGAAAGCTTTGAGATTTTTACCTCAGAAGGGATCTCCAACCACTATAGAACTCGGATCTACACTTGTTCTTCAACTTCTAGCTCCAACAATGGCTCCTTCTTCTCCTTCTTCACCTTGAAAAGATAACTTCAAGCTCAAAACACACACATAAGCTAAAGCACGGATCTCAGCTCTCTAAGGACTCACTCAAGGGGATATGATGGCTAGGGCAAAGGACTACATGTTCCTTTTATGGTGCACAAGCCAGAAATAAGGGTTTGCATCTAGACTCACTACGCCCAGCGTAACCCCTGGGTACGCCCAGCGTACCCGGGCGAGTCCGCGTTCAATTTAAGCGCGTGAGTATGCGCGGCGTACACCTCAGTACGCCCAGCGTACTCACCAATCCACCATACAACTTTAAGGGACTAATTTGCCAACTCTTCCAAAATAGAAGGGTCATAAAGCTTACCTGGATTTCGGGCTGTTACAGAAATATAATAGAAAGATCAAAAAAATTATAAAGATTTAAGAGGTTTAAATATGAATGTTTAAAGGTTAAAAGGAAAAAAAAAACATTTTTTTAAATATGATCGTTAACGGTCAATTGGAATAAAATGGGAAAAGAGGAGTGCTCCCTTGGGGTACCGTAGTGCAACCTCCACCAATCCAAACCGCAGAGAGGGGCGGTGTTTGTAATGATACGGCCTCTACCATAACCACTCCCCTTAGTCTAATGACAAATATAAATCCTTTCATTCCTTTTTTATTTTTTACTAAATTTAAGGCCTTGTTTATAAAAGTTTACACCGTCTAAGTACGATGATTGATATGAATTTGATTTAATAAACCCTCTTTGATAAACCTATTAAGTTTTTAAAAAGCAATCCCAAACACCCCTAAGCTCAAAGGGCTTCTATCTTGGTGTTCTCTCTCTTTGAGGTCAAGAGTTCAAGTCTTGTCGTGGGCATAGATGAAATTAGATGTTAGTTTAGGAGTTGATTATATATTTGTATTTGACGGTTAAAAAACAACCGAGCTCATCTAGTGAAATTGGGGAAGTCATACATTCCAACTTCAATTTCATCTCATCTTATAGCTCAATTTTTACATACAAATACATGGAAGCAGTGAATTATGGCTCAAATTGTAGGAGCGGTGAAGCAAATGGTGGTCACAGGTGGATCTTTAGTTCAATATGAATGTGTAAGGCATGTGATGGATAATTTCATCTCTCTTAGATAAGAATCTAGTTTTTCTAATCTACTTATTGGGCGTTGGTACTTTGGATTCAAGACCGCAAGCTTTATATGCACTTGGGTAATCTGGAATTTCATGTCCTACTCCTAGCTTCTCAAATCACGCAAATGTTCTTAATACTCCAATGATTTTAGTATATAATTCATTAGCCACTTTTCAAGAGAAAGTTGTTTGAATCTAAAGCGTTGTTTCTTGTATTTCCTGTTATAAGCAATCAAAATGTTCATATGCAGTGGATTAATCAAGTAGGTGTTGGTATAATGTTAGATCAAACCAAGTAAAGTACTTTGATTATGCTAATGTTGGAAAGATAAAAGAAACAAGCTTTATTTGTTTATTTAAACACAACAAAAGTAGATGGAATAGAATATAACTTTTTCATCTGCTTTTTGCCTTTAACTTGGCCTTGTTAACTACTCTCTGGTTGTGACCTTGTTGGTGGACTCCTATCAAAGAGATACACTTGCTTCTTCAGCTACAAACCCCACAAAATTTTAATCAAATAACATCTTTTTAACATTAAAGGAAAAAATACGTCAAATATTCAAAATATAATAAGAATGAAACCTCAATGAATTTTCGAAGTTGGGATTCAAACACTCGGTAGTCTAGTTTCAGGGTACATAATGTTGACTTGGCACTTAAATCACAAATATATACATTAAGATGGTTTCTTATAAGAGCATCCACAGTAAGGGACCTTCTTGTTGGAGCTTTTTCATGAAAAAGCTTAATATGAAAAAATTCATTATATCTCAAAAATAGTAGAGTTTTTCAATTTGTTTTCTGTGGGGCCCTTGTATAAGTTGTATATATACAATTGGTTGAAAATCTATGGAGCCCACCAAGTCATTGAAAAAGCTCATATCAAGAGCTTGTTAATTAACAAGCTCCATGAAAAAACTCTTCCAATAGCTTTTTCAAATTTCATGAGCTTTTTGGAGTGAAAAAGCTCCTATTGTGGATGCTCTAAGGTACTTGAGTATTTAACAATAAAAAAGAAGTGGAGTACAAAAGGAACATAAACAGTTATGTCCTTAGGGTCACCTGTCAAACATAGTCTTACATGTGTAATAGACATGTTTACTTTCTTTGCTACAACTCTGCTTAGAATTTGCATTTATGGTTGGTGTAAAATATTATGATAGGATAATGATTTATGCTAAAAGTACTAAAAACTCCCTAATAGAAAGAATGTGCTTTTTGTTACCTTGGGCTAGCTACTTCCAACTTCTCAAGCATGTTGCCAATGAATGCGTATTAAGGTGCCTGAGATTCTCTATAAGTTTACAAATAACATGAACTCGTATTTTATCCAAAGAATAATTTAAATTAAATGAAGAAAGTCAAATCAAGCGATTGGTGCGTTGTACTTACAATTGTGTCTTTGCCAAAGTTAAGATCTTATTAGCTTTCTTACAATATACTCTGCTAGCATTACATCAAGATATCTTATTCCCAAATGGTCTTCCATTTTTACCATACCATTAAATTCAAAAGGATCAACAATCCCCTACAAATTCAAAGAGTTAGTAATTTAGTATATGTGACTTCATAACCATATTCAAGAAAAATAACAAAAGCTAAAGTTGAATATGAATAGGCTCATGATACTCATGTTTTATATGTTTCTTTATTTGTATGAAACTAGAAAATATAGTTTGTGCATTGTAGATAAAACAAACCTTGTCTAAGATAGATTGACTGAGTTCAGCTAAGGCTTGAACATTGATGGTTGCCATAGATGAACAATTGTGGTTTGATTTAGAAGACTATGATAAGAATCTAGTATGGTATCTATGATAATGATATGGAAGAAAAGGTTTAAGTGTTTGTTGAATCTAGATTACAGTTAAGAGTCAAAATATGTAACCATGTATTATATTTCATTTTTGGGATGTACATGTTTTGTTGGAAATATGGTTTAGTGGCACTTGGAAATCTAAAAATCATGATAATCACTTTCTAATCAAAGTATTTGGGTGGTACTCTCAAATCCTCAATTGGATAAGACTCAGATTAAATCAGAGAGAAAGAAAGAGAATGAGAGGATATGATTTCGTGAGTACCAGAAATGAGACCAAAACTGAATTTAGACATTTGTCTGAAAACTGTCATATGACAGTTTAAAACTGTCACAAAACCACCAAAACGGTCATAAAACGGCTCTGCCCCTTGGACCCCGCTACCAGGGGCGCTGCCCCCGGACCCCTGTTCGTTCAGGGGTTTCGCCCCTAAATGACAGTGTACTTTGATACTTGATCAAACTTAAACAAGTGTGTACTCCACACATTTCTTACTTGTTTAATATTTATCAATATCACTTTTGGTCAACAAAGTAATCCCGTTACACTTAAATAACATTGATGATAACAAATCACCAACATGTTTCATATCTAACCTTGAAATATGTTGAAAAACACTTCCTTTTTTTCTTTGTTGTTTCATTTTATGGATTGGCAAATAGCAATAGGCATGTAACTCGAGGCCAATCAAAGTGAATATCTAACAAGTACATTCAAATAATTTTTTGAAACTTTGATATATGATTTTGATTTGATGGATAAAAAACATTAATGGCCCTATTTGAATTAAATGAAAACTAGTTGTATTTATTATTGTTCTAAAAGTCTGAATATATAAGGCTGAATTAGAAATCAATGACATCAATACTCATCTCTATTTATAGAAATCAATGACATCAATACTCACGATTGATAGATATAGTAGCCTCGTACTTGAGAGTTCAATTAAAATGGATATGTTGCCTTAGCACACTTTTCCTCTTCATCTCTATTTTCTAGTTGAATGACGTTCCTTTTGATTTTAATATTTTTTTTCTTTTCTATTGAATAGTGGGTTTATGTTTCTGTTTAGATTTTTTTCAACTGATATCATAAATTATATATGTATCCGCTTTTCTTATTGATTTTTATAAATCTGTTTAGGTATGAAATACTTTGGAGGATAGGATGAAGTATTCTTGCTATCTGGGCATAAACATAAATTGTTTAAATAATGGAGGTGGATAACGATATTCATTATATACTTGGTGTTAAATTGGGGTTGAATTTAATGATTGCTCTTATTTATTTGGATTCGGTGAAGGTTTTGTACTGTGTGATTGATAGTTCTACAATTAACCATAATTTTATGTAACATCGCTTTTAAAGTCTTTAAAAATATAACAAGATTTCAAAAGATATATATATATATATATATATATATATATATATATATATATATATATATATATATATATATATATGGGTTTAGGGAATATGTGGTTGTCATGTATATAATGTTAGATATAGAACCATAAAAAACTATATATTTTTAACAAAATGCAATCAAATCTTTCTACTATATTTTCTTGCATCCTCTATTAGAGCTGATGCTAAGCATTGTATATATTTTTATGGAATTTTATAAATTTAATTTTGCACCACAAACCATATATAAGAATATTTTACCAACTATTTGTAGGTCTCCAAATTGAAATTTAATATAGAAAACTATATTGAAAGATTGAAATTAATCATTAAAAAAACCGACTAAACCTCTTTTCATAAGCCATAATAGATAAACCATACAAATATACATAAGATATGTATTGAAGGAAGTTACGAAACATATTAAATGTCTAATAAAAAACACATTCGAAATAGATAGATATTGGGATGAATCACGAAATCAGATATAATATGAGTTCAAAGGCAATAGGAAGAAACCAAAAATGAAAGAAAAATGTATTTTTTTAATCAAAATGAAGTTGATTTTTATGATTCTATACCTAACATTATATACGTTACAGCCACATATTCACTTTTCCCTATATATATATATATATATATATATATATATATATATATATATATATATATATATATATATATATATATATATATATATATATATATATATATATATATATATATATATATATATATATATATATATATAATAAATACAAATTGACAATACTTGCAAGACTTTTGAACGAGTCTTTTAGTTAGGTTATAATTTCATGGAAATTAATTAAGTATTGTGTGGTCCACATAAGTAGGAGGTCACTCACTATTATAAAGTTATAAAATCTCATGGGGGTAGTTCTTACTTTGATATACAAACCAAAAATCTCCCAAGATTCTCAGTTTACATTATGAATCCTTGTCTTTTTTTTTTTACTTTTCTCACTTCTCTTGCTCCTTGTGACTGCAACTGCTAGCCAATTGGGGGACCATTATAAAAATGGTGTTACAAACAAGTGTTTGCATAAGGAGAGGCTTGATCTCCTTCTTTTCAAAGCTTCCCTTCATGACCCCAATGATACTCTCTCTACATAGAGATTTGACGAACATGATTGTTGTAATTGGAAAGGAGTCATGTGCAAGTGCAACAACCAAACATGTCATGTCATAGGACTTGATATTTTCGGCTCTAGTACTCTTGGAGGTGAGATAAGCCATTCATTGCTTAACTTAACCTATTTGAATCATCTTGACCTTTCTAGAAATTCTTTTCATGGAACCATTCCTAGTTTCATTGGTTCCATGACTCGGTTAAGATACCTTAACCTTTCCTATAACTCCTTTTATGGAACCATTCCTCCAGAGTTTGGAAACCTCACCAACTTGCAATTACTCTACCTTGGATCTATTGGAAGCTATAGAGTTGACAATCTAGAGTGGTTGTCCTATCTTTCTCATTTGAAGGAACTTCAAATGGATGGGATTTCCTTAGCCAAACAAAATCATTGGGTAGATGTAATTCTAAGTCTCCGGAAACTATCACTATTAAGTTTAAAGGGATGCGAGCTCTCACAAGTCATGTATCCATATTCTTCATTTCTCAACTCTTCTTCATATATTCATTCCCTTGATCTCAGTGATAACAATCTTAACTCATCCATGTATCGTTGGTTGCTCCCATTAACAGGTAATAACCTTCTCCATCTTTATCTCTCTAGCAATATGTTAGATGGGATCCCCAAATATCTTGGTAACCTCTGTGGTTTGCAAAATTTGTTCTTCAATAACAACTTTGTTGTTGTCAAACTTCCTGTTTTTCTCAACAACTTGTCAGGATGCACATCGCTTACATTACGAGAGTTGTATACTCCAGGAAGCCAACTTACAGGGTCATTGTCCGATGAGATTCAAAAGTTTTCATCCCTTGAATAATTGGACTTATCTCATAATCACTTAATTGGAAGTATAGATGAAAAACTATGGGAACTACATAGGCTTAAAAGGCTTGAATTTTCTTTTAATAAAATTAGAGTTCCTTCCACATATAACTTGTCAAGCCTCTATTACGTAGAGTATTTTGATATGAGGTCTTGCAACGTAGGGCCTCACTTCCCTAAATGGATTTGGACACTCAAAAATCTTACACGTCTTGTTTTTTCCAATGATAGTATATCAGACACAATTCCTCACGAGTTTTGGGACATGTGGCCTTCTCAATTACAATATTTGAATATCGCTTTCAACAACATAAGCGGGAAAATACCAGATTTATCATCAAATTTTGCTAGTGGTTCCGTGATAGATTTTAGTCACAACAACTTTTATGGCCAAATACCGAAAGTCTTTTCTGCTTTACCATCATTAGATCTTTCTAGAAATAACTTCTCTGGAGGGATTTCCTTTATATACCAAATTGTTGATGGGTTCTTAACATTTATTGACCTCTCTCATAACTCATTAAGCGGACAACTCCCGGATTGTTTGTGGCATTTCAAACAGCTAAAATTTCTTAATCTCGGACAAAATAATCTTTTTGGAAGGCTTCCTACCTCTATTGAATATCTGATCAATCTCAGCATATTGTATTTATACAAGAACAACTTCTCTGGAGAATTGCCTTTGTCTTTAAAAAATTGCACGAGTTTAAAGTCGTTGAATTTGGGGGCCAACAAGTTTTCTGATAATGTGCCTGTTTGGATTGGGGAAATCTTATCAGGATTGTATGGTCTTATTCTAAGATCAAACAACTTCTTTGGAACCATCCCTTTACAGTTATGTCAATTAGTAAATCTTCAAATTTTGGACTTGTCAGTGAACAATCTCCATGGAACCATCCCCTCATGTTTAAGTAATCTTACAACCATGGCTCAACAAGGATCCTTACAAGATGTACAATTTAATACAACTGTAAGAAGTGGGGATACACATATACATGACACATATGTTGACCATGCAATGATTCGGTGGCATGGAGATGAACGTGAATTCTTTAGAATTCTGAAATTTTTGAAGAGCATTGACTTGTCAAGCAACAATTTAACAGGACAAATACCAAATGAAATTACCAATCTGTATGGTTTGATTGCCCTGAACTTGTCAATGAACGCTTTATTTGGAGAGATTCCAGGGACAATTGGTGAGATGAAAAATCTTTTGACGTTGGATTTATCTAGAAACAATGTTTCAGGTCGGATGCCATCAAGCATGTCTCAGATGAGTTTACTGAATTACCTAGACGTGTCATTTAATAACTTGTCGGGGAGAATCCCATCTAGCACTCAACTCCAGTCTTTTCAACCTTTAAGATATGATGGAAATGCAGTACTTTGTGGACCTCCTCTTACCAAAAAATGTCTCGGGGCTCAAGATTTCAAAGTACCACCCGTTGCTGGAGAAAGTGAGGGTGATATGGAAGGCGTAGATGAAGTTTGGGGATGGTTCTATATTAGTGTGGGGACTGGTTTTGCTACTGGATTTTATATAACATGTGGGGTTTTACTTGTCAACCATCGTGGAAGACAAGCTTTTTTTCAATGTTATGATAACTTCAAAGATTGGGTTTATGTGAAGGTGGTGGTGTTAATTTCAAATTTGCCAAAGGCTAGACAGACTTAATTTTTCATCTTTTTTTTTTGTATATAATGTAATTTGACAGGGATTTTAAGTCCCTGATATCAATAAATTTGCCACTAACACGATGTGTGGCCATTTTACCTGTGTTGTATAAAATAAGACATCCTATAAAGTTCCTATATTTGTAGCATACAAAAATAAGCTTAAAATTAGACTTGCAAAAAAACATGAACCGACCGGTATAGGAAAGAACTAGTTTGATACAAATTTATTGGGTTTTGAAATCAAACGGTTGGTTTAGCATTGTTTATATATATATATATGTTACATGTAACCGGATTGGAACCGGTTTTTATTAAACTAGACCAAAACCCGTTTTTGGATGCATGGTGACAATAGTCTTGTAACATCCCAAAAATTGTAAGGTAAACATTTAATTTATAATTCAACCAAAAACACTATTTGGCCTTTTCAATCATTCGAAAATATATAAGAGTAAAAAATAGTTATCAGAGTACATCCAAAAATCATAAAGTTGCGGAAACATGATCCATAACAAGGTCACAAACTTTCAAGATCTAAACTTTATGCACTAAAGTGACCAAAAGCTCATAACACCAAAAAGTAGCTAGATCTAACAATTTCATCATCAAGATTCAAACTTTAAACCTCCAGAAGAAAGATCAAGGTGAACAAAGTTTGGACCTATAAGCTCCAATGCAACCAAAGCTACTTCAATGAGTTCCTTCTTCTCCAATGTGCACCAAGAACACTCTAAAGCACTTAAAACACATTATTTTTGCTTACAAGGCTCAAAATAGGGTTAAGGTTTCAAGGGAGGGTGTTGGAGAGATGGAGGATGAGAATGAAATGTGTTTGGGGAAGTTAAGAAACTTAAATAGGGCTCAAACCACCAAAATAGACTTTGGGCACTTATCGCGTATACTTGGGATGCCCTAGTATGCCTAGCGTACTCTCCATACGCCCAGCGTACGCGGCTAACCCAAAAATCATCCTAACTTCAAATGGTCGTAACTTCTTCATTTCAACTCCAATTTCGATGATTCTTATATCCACGGAATGGTAATGAGAAGATCTACAACCCTATAAACTCTCATTTTCCTTAAAACTTTCCAAACTTAAATTTAAAATTCATAATAGGCCCGAACTATCACTTTATGGTTATACCCTTGTGCTCCAAAGCACCAACTGAACTCCCGGATCACATAATCTACATTACCCACATCCAAAGGGGCCTAAATCTCTGTTTCCCCTAAGGCCCGAAGCCTTATGAAAAATAGTCTTCAGGTTATGGCCCCGAATTATGAAACGATTCGAAACATGGTGTTACAACTCTCCCTCACTTAAATTAGATTTCATCCTCGAAATCACTCATTGCTACTCTCCAAGCAATCATGTAACGTCCCAAAAACACAGTCTGAAAATTTCGTTTTAAATTAGTAATAAAACCATAGTCATCATACGTCATAGAAAAATCATAACAATGTATCTCATAATAATATAACAACTGTCATGTATATCAGAGTATAAACATCCCAGGCTGAACAAATGGTGTGTGCACTACAACCTTCCCGAGCTCCTCTTTTGAAAACTGAAGTTCCTGAAACCAAAACTGAAAACTGTAAGCACAAAGCTTAGTGAGTCTCCCCAAACTACCACATACCATACAATAACACATATAGCACATACTGGGCCTTGTCCACTTCATCGACCCCCCCCCCCCCGACATCGGACCGAAGTCTGGACTAACTTGGTCCCCGCCCACTGCATCGGGCCCCACCCGACATTGGAATTTGGACCGAAGTCCGGAATAACTTGGGCCCCGCCTGGCATCAACCAAAGTCTGGAATATACTTGGGCCCCGCACACTGCATCGGACCAAAGAACGCAATGTACTAAACATAACATAAGCATAAACATATAACATAATCACATATACTTCATCGGGTTTACCAGGCCTCGGACTAACACATAACATAAACATGCATGAATCATAAAGACATCAAGCATACATAACTACTTTTCAGGATTTCCCCGACATCGGACCGAAGTCTGGAACACATAACATATAACAGGTAAGCTAAATCACTGCATTGGGCCCCGCCCGGCATCGGACCGAAGTCCGGTACTACTAACATCTAACATGTAAGCAAAATCACTATATTGGGCCCCGCCCGGCATCGGACCGAAGTCCGATACTACTAGCATCTAAACGGGCTGACATTGTGGCCTTAGACTCGTTCCTACTGGAAGAGGACTCACCTCACACTGCTGAAGTCCTGTTGACAAAACCATAGTTGTTGGATGACAAATTCCCGATCTGTCAATATCAAAATAACACCCAATTAATAATTGGGTTCCAACTCATAACCATAAGTCCATACTCGGGGTAAAAGACTACTTTACCCCTATCTTAACTTGACTCAAGCCCAAGGCCCAAACGTCTAATAATGGACCAAGGCCCAACTATAGCCCAATTTTCCAAATTGGGACCAACCTCTACATGGTCTTTCTTTAAGGACCAATCATTCATTCTTGGTCCAACACTTGACATTCTCATAGTCCAACATCTCATAATCATCAAGGCCCAGACTATGGCCCATCTATGGCCTAATTTTCCAAATTAGGCCCAAACTCCTTACGTGGGCCTTACCCTAAGTCCATTAGATTATTCTAGTCCATTTTCTTGCTCTTGGATGGTCCATTATTATCCGAATCACCAAGGCCCAATAGGAAGGCCCAACTCAAAGTCCAAGTGATATTAGGGTTTCACATAAAATGATAATGAGTGTTAAGTGTTTCTCAACTATTTACATTCACAATATGAAAAATCTCGAACAATTCAGATTTACATTGTGTATCTGAATTACTATTATGCAGAATAATAACTTTTCTACAACACTCTCTGAAAGCACGTATCTGCAACAACAATATAAAAACCATTAATATATCAACAATATAATTTGTTTATAAACATTTAAGAAAATAACAAATGTATTAAAAAATATATTACCACACATCCAATAGCGAAAAAAGAAATACTCAAAACGATCCTCCGAATCAGTTTTTATGTACGCCACGATACCACGATTATTTTTCTTCAGATTGTGAAAATAAACTGGAAGTTTGGAGAAACTTTCTTTGGGGGTCCCTATCATCAATCCCAGAGCAAATTCTCTAGCATGCCACGCTTGTGAATAACTCATATTTATTTGTAGCAAAGCATTCATATCTCTAATTATATCTTTAGGCTTCCAAACTCTCAAACTTCCTTGACCCATAATGTCATGTATTATGGTTCCCACAACTTCGCTATTTGCTTGCCTATGATTTGGGTGTATAAGCAATAAAGAACATGTATACTCGTCATTAAACGTCTTAATTTCAAATATTTCCATTCCTTTAATGAGAGATGCGTATAAACGCCAATGACAGTTTTCTTATATACAAACAACCTGATACCGAGATTTTGAAGATTTTTCAACCTTTATTTGAAACTTTTCTCTAACAACTTTCAATTTAATAGCAAATGCTAGTTCTTTTTTGGTGTTATAGGTTTAATTGACAATTAATTTATCATTCGGACCTAAACTGTGAAATGGTCCAGGTTCAAGAATATGTTCTGGACAATCAGGAATAGAAGGAATACAATAGCATGGATTAAAAGCAGTCAATTGTTTCGTGTACTCATCATCCGACCACCCTTCATTTGATTTTTCCTCACATCTTTGATCATCAACTTCGAGAACTTCTCCAAACTCGAACAAATTATGACGTTGTAATTCACTCATGCCCATTTTTGCTTCTTTATCATTATCTGATACAAAAGTATCATTATCAGATAAAAACTTATCAGTAACCGAAACTTTCTTTCATAACCCACTTGTACTTCATTTCTTCTTCCCCTTGAACGGTTTCTATCACATTAGCTTTCTCTACGACCTCTATTAGTTTTTGCTGGATTAAAGTGGTTGTTAACCACTACTTGTTCTTCAGCTTCTTCACCTACCACCGTTAAATACAAATGCACCGTCTTCTTTGATTTAGACATTACATGTCTCAGTTGAAATACATCAGTTTCATCTCCAAGCTTCATGACATACCCTAACTCCGAGTGCTTAAAAGACAAACATATATAACTATTTAGCACATCTGCCTTACTTCTAACCATTTGTAATAACATTTCATGGTCAATGTTAGGAGGAAGATTTATACCATAGTTTTTCACATTATTTCTAACGTAAACCTCATCTCCATTAACTAACTGCCAAGACCCTCCCGTATACAAAATAATAAAACTCGTTTTACAAATCACTCTCCACAAACACAATGAAAAAACAACTTCTACTGGTAATTGAAACTCACAAAAACCCACTAAAATACGTCTATAAATTCTATAACTGATACGCAGAGGTGTACACAGATCCGCAGATGTGTAAACTGATCCGCAGAGGTGTACATTGATCCACAGAGCTGTACACTGATCCACGGATAATAGTTATGTGGATTCCCAAACAGTTCTGTGAACTAATATTAAACATAAGTTCATTATTTTTAACATTTTTTTGTCAAATTTTTTACATAAAACATAAGGTATTAGTGTATTAAAAAAATTAATATTAATAAACAAAAACAAAAAATAGAAAAAATTAAAAAATTAAAATTAAAAAAATGAAGATCCATAGAGGTGTTTCGGTTCCTCATAGGCAAACGTATTACATAAAACATTTCATTATTTTTAACCTTTTTTTTGTAGATTTTTTTACATAATAATCACATAAGGTATTAATGTATTTTAAAAAAATTAATATTAATAAACGAAAATGAACGCAAAAAAAAACAAAAAAAAATTAAAAAATCCACATTCCGCAGAGCTGTAGAAGGATTCGCAGAGTTGTAGAGAGATCCGCAGAGGTGCTCTGGAGATCCTTTGGTCAATTTCTGAAATCCATTTTTTATTGGTTATTTTCTTTAAACCGACCATCTTTTTTGGTTATATGTCCAATTTTCTCTAGTTATTA